CCTAAGAAAAAATCAAAAGAAAGTGTTCTTCTATACAGTTACTCGTAAAACCATAGCGTGGCCCACCGGTGGGCCACATCGTGCCCAATGTGTTAATAGATTATAGTACAGATATTGGACACTGAGATGAATGCAATCAGCAAAATACTAACGAGGCATACTTTGAAATTTGATCTCTTTACAGTCTTCTTGTCGAATTTATTTTTGTCATGAATTTCACATTTTATTCATGTTCTTCAATATTTCTATAGTTGTGTGATACTGTGCTCGTTGCTTCAAAACATCCTTTTTTAAAGATTGAACGACTAGAAATAAGATATTGTATGAAAGAGAGAAAATGAAAATAAAGTCGACATAAAGAGATCGGATTATTAACTGAAAATTATACTGTTGACTCGAAACAGACGAGCTTTACTTTCATTTCAATAGAAAAAGAATGTATTGACTCGCATACCGTTGCACACATATCAGTATATAATCTAGAGAGAATAAAGAGAAGAGAGAAAAAAAAACGATAATAACTAATGGAAAAAAAGAAAGAGAAAGTATACAGAGGATTGTGATTATATGATATCATTGTTAACATATATATGAACGAAATTAGTGATATGATCTTTGTTTTTACAATTATTAGAAACATTCCAGAATAATTATAAGTACAGATGAAGAGGATATAAACCTCTACACCCATTCCCCACACTTGCTCAACCAAAATGTGAATTCTTAAAATATAATTTATTAAAGTCATCCACGTACGACAATTTTTAAGCAGTCTGTGGTGATCAACACTTATTATTCAAAATCAACAAAGAAAAGGGTCGACGTCTCTGTTTAAATGAAGAACTGAAATATTTTAAAGCAGCTGTTTAAGAGTTCAATTTGAAAGATGAGTCATCTCCAACGTTAGTAACAAAGTTTTGGCAATTTCATTATATTCAATCGTCACATTTGTCTAATTTGGTAAATGAACACTTTGTTGCATGTGGAACTAGCATACCGGGTGAATCAGCTTTTTTGTCCCGGCGCACATAACTTGTAAAGGACGTTCACGTCTTTCATCTGGAAACTTATCCTTTTCCATTTTTTTAAAGATAAAATGAGTTTCGTACTAATTAGGGTAGTTTTTTGAATACTCTGCATAGTTATTCATTTGTACGCGTCTTCTTAGCAAATGGGTGATAATTCATATGTATGTTTATTCGTTTATTATATTTTTTTATATATCGTATTCATTGCCTTGATGCACTGTTCAATTTTTTTTCTTGTATAGTATTAGAAACTACATCTGAGTTCTAATAGCTGAATTCAAAATTTATATGCGTTATTAACAAACATTCATGTGAAATTTCTTCTGATTATGTGAGGGTCATACTTTTTAATCCGAGTCTTATCTTTTTACATGACTCATGTTAATTAAAAGTTTGTTTAGAAAATGATAATTATGTATATATATTTCTTCAAGATATATTTTTGTTAAACAATGTAATGTTAGTCACTTGTTTCAATTTTTTTACTATAAATAAACATTAGAATTGAAGAATTTACAGCCTTAGAAACAGAAGTAAGCAACATAAATATAAAAATTAATAACTGTAATTGACAAGATACTCAGATACCAATGAAAAACTCTAAGACTGTTATGAAAAATAAAATCTTAAAAAGATTGACTTCTCAATAGAAAGCAAGTCTATGGATTTCCTGTCATCGTTTATGGTCCATTTCTTGTTTGATTATTTATGACAAAAGAAAGTTAATGCAGTTCTAAATGATATTGATATGACGGATTACGTTTCGTAAACAGTCGTTTTTGGACTCATTTATTGAAAATACCGGACATGTATCAATTATAAGTAATAAGATATCAAGCCCCAAACGTATGTAAAATGATGAATTTTGTCTGTATATATGACATGTACAACATATATATATAAGAACAAAACTAAATTGTATATGCTAAAGATTTTATTGTAAGTCGACCTCATGGATATATGCGTCCACAAAAAATTTCAGCTCTACTAGTCGAATCATTGTTGAGACACGCAATTCACAAGCTGCTCTATGTGTGGACCTTTCATTTTTAGATCTATCAGAACAGAATGGGATAAAAACTCAAGCCTTCATTAGTTTTGAAAACGATTTGCGGCATAGTTCATAAAGTATGTGTCACCATCACATCTCTTGAAATTAGCGAAGTCTGGAATCTTTGATTGAAAATGTGTTATGAGGACTGATATTCTCTTCGCCCCACATTTACACCCTCAGGTTTATTCTGCTATAGCTATACCATTGTGGCTGTCCCACTACTTCTACACCGCGGGAACTTGACAAGTCTGTAAGTATTCTAATCACCAATTTGCGTATACCTAATTTGTTTGTTTCTTTCGAAGTTGTACACCCCTATAACTAGGGCTATATGCGTATCGTAGTGTGCTTGATCACTAAACTCACTTCTATATATGTACTTTTGTATTTACCGTTTATTTTGGTTATGCGTATTCTGATTTTTATATACCCTATGTAGATCTTTTTTTCGTTTGCCTGTTTATTTTTCTAGGTTTCTCATGCGTAATGCAGTTCTTGCATACCTAACTTTGTCTGGTTTTTACTTATAGTAACACTTATGTGTCTGAAAGTGTATATTTTAGTGTGTCTCGAATATCTTGTGATAACCAGCAGGCATCTCGTTATTGTTTTTGTTAGTTACTAGTGTATAATTTTTCATACAATGAGATATTTTACTTGAAGGAGACTTCAGAAGTCTCTTACCTTCCAGGAGAAATAGGAGACGTACGCCCTAAGCGTGTGAATGGATCTTTTTTTCACCTAGAACTACACTTACATATCCACACCCTTCTTCTTGTTAAATAAATCTTTTATTATATGACAGCAAATAAATAAAGTCTCTCTTTTTATTTAAAATAAGTCACTGCGTCTCACTAAAGAAACAAAGTGGTCTCTTCACGATATTAAAACCACCACTTTGTAAAACAAGAGTCTTCCGAAACCCTTCAAAAATTCTTTGGCGAACACATTGGTGTGCTTATTGAAATTCATGCTATATTTTATCGAAAAACCTCATATAGTTACAGAGATACAAAAAAATAAACGATTTGCATTGTTGGCCATAGTAAAGTAATTTTTGAAAAATTGATTATCTCAGCGATGGAACAATAAAATTTAAAATCGAAGCATAATTCTTTTGGGATGCGTTTGGCGATTATAACGAAGTAAAAAAAGCACTCATTTCAGCTCGTTTCTAGAAATACTTACTGCATTTGCAAGAATAAACATGGTCTGTCTTGGATATGTCAACAATATCGCTCGTATGTCTCCTGCCCATTATCTGAATAGTTTTGGGTGTGGGTGTGACTGCTGATGTTCTCTTCATTTACAGCCACATCTTCAGGCTCTGATTTTTTTATCTTTAATTTTCGTTTCTCACAGGTTTACACTGCAATACTTAGTTAATTGTGAACAACATAGATATGTGATTTTATTAAAAGTTGGATGAAACATGATACACTCAACAAGTACTTTGATCGATTGTGAATTTTTGCACTCTCTGATTGTCTTTGTCAACAACATAGAGATTGCCATGCCGATCGAATGACAACCCCCATGGATAGCTCAAGCGTTTTGCTGGATCCCTGGTACTATTTCCATCAACAAGGGCAATTCCCTGTGTGGCTCCTTTCGGCCAACGCATTACTCGGTGATTGCTACATTCTGCTACATAGACAGTGCTCAACTGATCAACAACAATACCGCAAGGACTGTTCATATGTGTTAAACCATTTCCTTGGCCTCGACCACCTGCTACGACAATACCTTGTGTTGCATCTTTCTTCCATTTCATCACACGATGATTCCAGTTGTCCGACACATACACTGAATAATTTTGGTCAACGAAAATATAAGAAGGATGATTAAGTTGATCGAGGCGACTACCTTCACCGTTACCGCCAGCCACTATCTTGTCTGTAGTATCTCCTATTCGCCATCGTTTTACGCTGTTTTCTTTCTCATCAGAGACGTAGAGATATCCACGATCGTCCTTTGTCAAGCCCCAACAACTAATGTTCGACATAATTGTTTCGCCATGTGTGCCATCGCGACGTGGCCACCGTACAATTCGTCTATTGCCTGAATCACAGATAAAGAGATTATTGGTCGCTTCATCGACAATCACATCTGTTGGTCTATCCAATTGATCCATACGATTTCCGGCTCCGTGTCCACCAGCAATCACCTGTCCACTGGTTGCACCGCACTTCCATTCCACAATCCAATGGTTATTATAGTCAGTAACGTAGATATTTTGATCAACATCAACGTACAAACCGAATGGATTGCAGAGCTGATTCAACCGATTGTCTTCTCCATGACCTCCAGCCACCGTGATGCCACTGAGTGCCCATCTGCTATTGAGATTGAGTCGAATTTCAGTTCCGCGAAGTTGTACTGTAATAGAATGAAAAAGTGAGTCACAGTGCTGTACAATGAAGACGATCATAATTGTATAACCGAAGAACAAAACTGTATCCATGTAGCTGTCTTATTGAAAGTTGTTAGTTTTTATTTCATACATGATAGTCAAAATAAATTCTTGAAATAGCTTAGCAAGAAGTATAATTAAAAGGCTCAAACTAACGTATGGACTACACCCATTTTCCCATAAAGTTGAAGTGTTTCTAGAGGGAGAGCTAAGCTAACCAGCCCATCTCTCCTCTGGCCTTGTCACCATGAGGTAGGTTTTTACTACAAAGGAAAGTTGATGAACTCAAAAATCTTCATCAATAAGGTGAAATGCTCAAGAAAAGTCTTGTTCATTGGAAAGAGCTGATAAAAAGCGTCGTCCTCAAATCTCCTCTATTCTCTGAACTCTGATGATATTTATTCAATTTGCTAGGTACCAAATTGGCATGAATAATGTTTTAAGGTCAATTCATTTATTCTTCAAATTCGATCTTGTGATTTAGGTATCCGCGAGAAACGGTTGTATGGTGTGTGATTCGCGGTGAGGAGAATACAAATACATCCACGCCCTGTTCATGAACTTGAGTTGGAGACAATGCATCGAGGTATTTATTATTTAGTAGCCTCTGATAGTTTGCAATTTCTTACTTTTACTTGTAGATATCACTGATCGTTGTTCACTTCTGGTATTGAGCGGTTGAGTACTTGCAACTATAAAGCAATAGATATTCGAAAGTAAAAATGTCCTTTTTCATTGAATAGGATGCTCGATAGTGGAAAACAAATTTCTATTGCTGATGATTTTTTTTCTTTACCTTTTTGTTTCTCAGCATAAATCAGACGATTCCAATCTATTCTATCGTCGATAATTAGCTTTACGTTCTCTGTCTGACTTTGTTGATCGAGTGATTTTTGAAGTTGATTGAGCTTCAATTGCAATCGTTCAATATCGTCTTCGGCAAAGCTATCTTCTTTGAGTAGAGTGCGAATCTCATCTGCCACTGTTCCCAAATTTTCCGTCAATGATTGCGTTTCTTGACTGAACAACTGAATGACTTGGTGACGAGCGAGTTGAGCGACTTTTTTTATTTTCACGATCGTTGATGTTTCCCAATCATCAATTTGAGCACAAAGATCATCAGAAACAATATTTGGTTGTTTGACTGAATGAATTTGTTCAAGAAGATCATCGTGAATTTTCACCACATCACGATCAAATTGCATTGACAATTGTTGACGATGCTCATTGAAATGTCGCGTACAAAAATAAGCTTTACATCCATCACATATACACATCCCTCTGCCTTTGTCACACATTGAACACCGATTCGATCTTGTGTCTGTCGACATGTCTACAAATGTCTACTGCTAGATAATTGGTCGCATTGCAATCGGCCTATTCACATCCTTACCTTTATGACGAAGCAGTCACGAAAAGACAGTTTAAATAAATTACGGCGAGTGTCGACCAGCCTCAGTGCAACTCTTCGTTTCACACACAATTTGTCAACGATAAACAGACTGCGTTGCTATGTGTCATAAACTCGAGAAATTAATATTTATTTTTGTCTTCTTTCAATCCTTCTGTCAACAGACAACATAAGTAGAGAAGCAAAATACCTCTACCTGAAAGAAAAAAAATTACGCACATCAGACAGCAATACGACGTGGACATCTGTCGATAAAGTGAATTGGTTTGCAATGTTTATGCTCATTACAGCACGATTCAAAGCAAGAAATAGTACGGCAATGATGAATAACAAAATGACCATGAGGCAGTGTTGACGACAAGTAATTGGTTGACTAAAGCGTCACCTCCGTATGAGAATATAAAACAGATTGCCATGATACAGAACAGTGACGTAGAAATGCTACACTATTTGTTGTGAATGAGTTTTTTTTTCTCTTAAATAAAATCCTCACTTCACACCCAACACGTTCCTATTTTCAATAGAATGCAGGTATTTTTTGCATATTTGATTTGTTAGAAATGAAAAGGGAGACGATCTTCGTAAGTATAACAGTAGTAGTCATATATCTGGCCTCTATATTCTAATTAGTGTAGCTATGCTTATTCAGTCAAATTTTGCATTAAATTGTAACCAAAAAATGATCAGCATAAAAAAATGATGAAAAAAAAACTAGAATCAACATAAAAGGTGTGCAGTCGTGCTATTTATTCAAAAAAGATTGAATAACCCAATATTTTTCTTAGATATTTTTACGCCAGAAGATGCAGCTTTTCAAAGGCTTTCTTTTTCGTTAATAAAATCTATCTGAGATTTGCCAATCTTAGATCTTACGGATCAAAATACTTGAAAACCATGTTAAAAAAAATGAAGTATTTTCATTAAAAAAACACTTTACGGGCTCTTTTTCTCACATCATGATGTTTCTACCCAGAAAAAAATTATTCAAAAAAGCGTTCCGACGCCAACTTTTAGAAAAAGATGCTGTTTTTACGTTTGAACGCACTTGTTTGCTATGCATCCCCAAATGGATTTTTTAAAAACGCTTTGGAACGCTGTCCTTTTTAATACATTTTTTCTCGAAAAAAACAGATATTTTACAAATGTGTTTGTACACATCCAATTTAATGCATATTTGATCAGAAAATGAATCTTTTTACAAACAAGTTTTATTTATATTCATATTCGTATTATGAGTATAAAACTATGATTTTATGAAGTCTGTTATCATTCATGGAAACATTTTATAGTATCACAGCTAAAAATATATCGCTTAAATATACCTGTTATAGAAATGAATTTTATGAATATACTATAGCAGTATGTATCTAAATATTTCAGATGGAAGAAATAGTTACTTAACTAAAAAAGACCGACCGTGCACATGAATTAAATCAATTTTTATGTCATATAAAAAAAATCTTAACCAAGTCATAAAAACTATAGACAAGATGATGTCCAATAGCAACTCTGTTCAATGACTCTCAAGCAAAGATCTCTAATACGAGCTTTTTTATTTTTATAACATTTCAAATTTCTTTAATGAGATTAGATGTTAATGAGAAATAGCACGTGCTTGTTTATCTTCTTCATAGTATTTTACTCAAATTTTAGCTCGTTTTTTTGTTGTTGTCATATTACATTTACGTGATCTGATGAAACAGTGTCTAATAATATTAAAATTGATGAAACATGAATAAAAAACCAAACTTATTTTACTAATTCTAGAATTAAGACACTAGACCTGACCTATTTTCTTTTTGTGTATTGCTTTTATCTCTAGTTGCTGAATTTACAATGTCATGTCTCAATACAGTTGAATCAAAACAAGACAACGCCGTCTCATTAAGTATTTTCAACAGATAAAGTTTTCAAAGAAATCTTTTTCTTTTTGCTGATGAATTAAAAACTTATTTGCGTGAATCTCAATCATTCTTTTACAATGTGCACAATGAACTGACAGATAGAGCTCATATAGATAAATGATGCATACATATTTCTAGGAACAATTGATTTTCACCCAAAAACAATCAGATGATTATGAAAGAACAGTTTCTATAAACTTTATCTAATAGAGGACACGTCAAAAAATATAATTATAGCGATACGGGCATAAGCATATGAGTAAATGTATTTATAAGAGAATATATATCAGAGAATAAGACGAGATAAAAACATACGGATATAAGAATAGGTACATGGGTAGGTTAAGCGAATAGAAATAAACTTTCCTAGTCGATCTTCTCTGTAAGAGTCCTATGAAGTCCCTGTTCGATTGCTAAATCTCAAAAAAATCCCTAGCAATTCAGGCAGAAACAAGGAATTTTCTGGAGTTTCCAAGAGAACTCATCTGAAGAAATTCGAGGAACTTCTCGGTTTTTGCTTGAATTTTTAGGGATTTCTCAGAAGTTTAGTAATTGTGCAGGGGCCATCCGGAGATTCTTGTAGAAAGAATCGACTAGGATTACGGAAGAATAGCGAAAATATGTACGCTGGAAAAAGAACGCGTTCAATAGCAAATTATTGCAATTTTTTTCGTGGACTTCATGAAATTTGTAGCAATGACATATAGAATTAGGTATTCATCTCTTTTAGTTTATCAGTAGTGTCTAATTCAAATTTTTGAATTAGTCTATATGAATTATATTATTAAATTTCATTTAGTTTCTGTATGTAATATAATTGATTTTGAACAACTATAGATGTATGTCAAATTGCTCATTGTTGATCGACCTTGCATTTATCAATAAAAAATATTTTCTGATAATAGAAAAATATATTGAATACATGATATTATAGTTTTCGAAAGTAAACATTGTGGTTTTGATAAATTGAAAGTATTAAGTTAGTCTTCAAACATTCTTTCTATTGAACAGACATCATTTCGAGCTTTTATAGCTCACTGGTGTATATACACGACTTCTGATCGCTGGTTCTCTTGTTCAAAACTGACTTTGATTGCTTAGAGTAATAATTCAATTCATTCGTTAAGTTAGACGAAGATCATCATAACAACATATTGATGGCATCTCTGTTTTTTGAAATTTTCAAAGTTTAATTTGAAACGCGTCCCGACGTGTTTCTATCATAAACCACGTTTAGACTTAAATAATGTTGCCCTGGAGACGCGTTTCGACTTGAAAAATACTTAGATGAGACGGAAGCGAG